TCATCAATTCCCTGAACATGACCTTGTCTTTACCAAAAGCCAAGGTTCTGACCATAACAGAACAATGCAGGGAGCTCAGTCAGTCCGAAACAGAGAACGCCAGACGGTTAGCACAACTGATTGGCAGGATGACGGCATCATTGACGGTGATTATCCCCGCTCCTTTGCATTACAGACACCTCCAAATGTTAAAAACTCAGACTTTCCTGATGGAAAGGAGTTACGACACTGTAGTGAAATTAACTCCACAATGCAAGGAGGAGCTCCTTTGGTGGGTGGATCACCTAAAAGAGTGGCATGGGAAGAGTTTCATATCTCAGAGCCCCGATTTAGTGATAACGACAGATGATTGTCAAAAGGGGTGGGGGGCAGTTTGTGGCTCGACCCGAACCCAAGGCCTTTGGAACAATCAGGAAATGACCCATCATATCAATGTATTAGAATTGAAAGCGGGTCTGTTAGCAGTTCAGACATTTGCCAAAAATATGCAAAGCGTACATATACATCTGAGAATGGACAATTTCTCCGCAGTTTGTTATGTCAACAAAAAGGGGGGGACAAAGTCGATAGAGTTAGTAAAGGTGGCGAAAGAACTGTGGGACTTTTGTCTCAACAGAAAGATTCTTGTTTCGGCGGAATACCTGCCAGAAAAGGACAATCTGGAGGCCGATTGGCAATCCAGAAACTTTCAAGACTCCAGCGATTGGAAGTAGAGCCCGGACATATTTCAACAGATTCAGACTGTGTTGGGCCCAATGGAATTGGATTTGTTTGCGAACAGACTAAACAAACAGCTTCCAAATTATGCCAGTTGGAGGCCGGATCCCCTAGCCCAATTCACAGACGCATTCTCAATAAGTTGGACCAATGTGAAGCAGAGTTTTGGCAAAGGTCAGGAAAGAGAAGGCAAATTTGGTGTTGATTACTCCGACATGGCAAAGTCAATCGTGGTTTCCAATGATCATGAGGCTTTCAGTGAAGGAGCCAATATTGCTGCCTCCACATTCGAAACTCCTGACAAATCATGTAGGAGAAAGTCATCCACTTCTAGATCAGGGGTCGTTGTCTCTGGCGGCATGGATTGTCTCAGGCAACGAATCTCTATGCCAGGAATTTCAGAATCAACTTCCACTCTCCTCTCAAAATCTAGACGAGAGGGAACCAGGAAGGTTTATAACACCTCCTGGAAGAAATGGAGTGGCTGGTGTAATTCTAGGGAGGTTGATCCATTTCAGGCCACTCTGGTCGATGTAATCAATTTTTTGAGTGACATGTTTGACGAAGGTTTTTCGTATAGTACAATAAATGCGTTTCGTTCAGCTATTTCGACCATTCACCCACATATCTGTGATCTGCCAGTGGGTCAAAGTGCAATAGTAAAGGAGACAATGTCGGCGATATTTAACGAACGACCCCCAGAACCTAAATATGCAGATACCTGGGATGTAAATTTGGTCTTGAAACAGGTAACTAACTTAGGTCAGAATGATTCGTTATCAGATAGTACTTTGACGCACAAATTGGCAAAGTTACTGACTCTTACAAATATTAGTAGAGCATCTGAATTAAAAAACTTGAATCCGTTGCATATACAGGATTTTGGTGATCGGATAGAGTTGTCGATACAAAAAATAACTAAGACCCATAGGACCGGTTCGGTACCAGCTAAGTTTTTCTTGTCTAACTTTCATATACAGGAATTGGACCCTGTGTTAACTCTAAGGGCCTATTTAAAAAGGACCAGTGCTTGGAGAATTAATCCTAATCAAAAGTCTCAACTGTTTTTAGGTTGTTTGAAACCACATAAGCCCGTAGTTACGTCTACAATATCTAATTGGCTTAAGAAATTTATGGTTGAATCGGGAATTGATATTGAGAAATTTCAAGCCCATTCCACACGATCAGCAGCAACATGCAAGGCAAAGATAATGGGCTTATCAGTTGAAGATATTGTCAAGTGTGCAAATTGGACCAATTCTGACACATTCAAAAAAATTTATGAAAAACCCTTAACTTCTAAGGGAAAGGAAGCTTTTGCAAATCTAGTATTGCACAAATGATAGCTTTGAACCATCGTATTTAGAACTTATTTCAGTTGACGAAATAAAATTATAATTTTACGAGTCAACTGAAATAAGTTCTAAATCCCACCCTCTCCACCCTAATGAGATACAATTATACTTAATGAATAAATATTTGTATTTTCAGAACTTAGATTTGGACTCATTTGTGGAGGATAAATACTAGATTAGAAACAGAAGATTTTCTTTGGATTAGTGTAGAATTTAGAAACAGAAGATGTTCACTAAAATTAAAACTGTTAAACTGTTATGAGTAAACTGAACTGATTTTGATTTGTAAACCTTAATTGTATTTGTTACTTTATTAAAGTTTCAGTATCTGTTATATGTCTTTCCTTTGTCAGCCCCAGAAATGAGCAAGATTTCTCGCAGTTTCACGCAAGTTTTTGCTTTAAAGGGGCTTAACTCTTGTGGAAGTCAGAGAGACATCGTATTTAGAACTTATTTCAGTTGACTCATAAAATTATAATTTCATTTCGCGTGCTTCGCACGCTTATGCTTACAATGTGCTTACAATGTGGGGGAGGAGAAATTTTGTTTGGATTGCTCTGTTTGGATTGCTGTATGTACTGGGGAACTTGTTTTGTTTCTCCTTGTCAGTATCATAGGAACTCCTGAAAAATCAAGGAGGATTCATTTTTTGGTTTATGCCAGGATTGGTGTCTCGGTGTTTGATGAAGAAAGGACAGCTTAGCTAAACAACCTTCTCAAAATTTGAAAAAAAAACTCAAAGTGTTCAATTTTCTGTATACTTTCATTACTTTAGGAATAAGATCATAATTTTTTTACCACAAGCATTGCTTGCTAATTAAAATCATGCAAATTGATGAGATGAGAACTATGTGGTAGTGTAAAGTGCTTAATACAAAAATGTTCCCAAATCTGATTTCAGGCAAGTTTAGGGGAGTTATAGCTCTCCCTGCATTACAAACACTGGACAGCACAATACTCATCAATTTGGGTCTCAAACAAAACACATGGGAAAAAAATATGTTTGGCCTTGGCTAAAACAATTTCTGCCCCATTTTCATTTGATCTCCACTTAAGAAAAATATGTCCTCATTTTTATCTTATTATCCTTTACAATCAGCTTTTTTTATAAAGGACAAAACGTCTTGTCAGGTTCTAATAGAGACCTTAAATAACTAATCACCAGGGAGAGATGAAAAGCGGTGGGAAAGTTTTCATAATGGCTATTCTATTACTACAAGGTTAACATACATGTTATCGTATTTATTGACTCGTTATCAGGCTACTGTGCCTAATAAGCATTTTTCAACTTCTCTATCCGTATCTGAATATAGACCTGTCCAATTTTACATAATATAATTTGGTTATGAAGAGTATCTGTTACAATCTGACATTAAATGGCAAAGTGCAATACTTAATGAAAAATATTTTCTGAAAAAAATTAAAGAAAGTCAATATTGAATAATGCTTAAATATGAATAATATCTAAAAATTCTTTTGTTTGTTAAATCTAAATAAATGAACTAAATCTGTTCAGAAATTGTGTTTTTATATGAAGATATCCACGATTGCAAGCTTTGAATCATATAAAAGATGGTTAAATAACATCGTTTGAAACTTTTAATTTAAAAAATAGCAGGAAGGAATTATACAAAATTATAGTGTGTACTTCACTAAAAGCTTGTATGTTAACCTCAAGACACTAAGACCCATATTCAATTAGATTCCAGGTACTGCTCTTATTTTAGGACTGAACAACCCAACAGTGAGGCGATATCCCCTGCCAAAATCCCAAAATAAATAGATGACACATATCAATTAATCACACATTTATTTTTTTTTTCTAAAGTATCGAGCAATGCAAACTATACACTAAGTTTTACACTCTCTATCAGATAGAATCAAGATTATCTTAGCTTTAGCTCGAAATGTTCATCATTGAACTCAGTCAAGACATTCACCAAATGAACATTTACATCAAGTTTAAACATTCTACCTCAATTAAAAGCTGAGTTCTTTTGTTCCAAAGTCTTGACCAATCAAATTGCTTATCGCTCCTTAGCTTTAGCAGAAAACTCTCACAATCGAACTTAGTCAAGGTAATGATATAATGAATCTATATTCGGAGTTTTATCGCTCTTGCTTCATTATCGTGCCCCAAAGCATTAACCAATCAGATTGCTGATCTCTGCTTACCGTAAGCAGACAATGTTCAACATCGAACTCCATCAAGGCATTCACCTAACGAATGCCTACACCAAGTTTGAACATTCTACCTCAATTAGAAGGAGAGTTATTGTGTTCCAAAGTCTTGACCAATCAAATTGCTTATAGTTCTGCTTACCCTGAGCAGAAAATGCTCATTATCTAACTTAGTCAAGGTATTGATGTAATGAAACTATACACCAAGTTTCATCACTCTCACTTAATTAGAACTAAAGTTATTGTGTCCCAAAGCATCAACCAATCAAATTGCTTATCTCTGCTTACCCTAAGCAGAAAATGCTCATCTTCGAACCCCATCAAGGCATTGATCCAATAAACACCTACACCAAGTTTGAACATTCTAGCTCAATTAGAAAGAGAGTGATTGTGTCCCAAAAAGTGTGACGGACAGACATATGGACGGACAGACAGAGAAACAGGCGGACGGACGGACAGACAGACAGACAGACGAACCAATTTTAATAGTCCCCTGCTTTCTTCGAAAGGTTGGGGACAAAAAATAATATCCTTCTCTGTTGTAAGTAAATCTTTATATAAAAATGTTAGTCTTGAGAGCATTCTTGTACTTTCCGGCACTTCTTAATTAGTTATCACCTTTTATGTAAATCGTATACTCTGACATTGCAATCTAGAACATCCACACTTGGTCAAATTTCACACCCACTTGTTTTAAGAAGCTCAAATATGACAGTAGGAAAGATATAAAAAGCTAAAAATAATTACCTCTTGGTTCATGATGGTGTTGAGAACGGAAAGTTTGTTTTGTAATTCAGCAGCCTCAGCTTCTGGCAAGTCTGCAACGACATCTGAAGTCAGAATTTTAACATGTAAAATAAAGGCTGGGAGGGAGGCCTAGTCATTGAAAATGAAATAAATAAGTGAGTTGGTTACCAATCACATACCAACCTGCCTTGCTGCATATGTTTTTATTATATAAAGTATTCTTGAGAGTTCTAACGGAAATTGTGCAGACGTATTGGAGTGGATACTGTACATGTACAACCAGCAATCAACAGTTGTCGTGAAATGCTTGACATTTCTTTTTTTGAAATATAGAGAATACTTCATCATAACATCTATCCATTTTCTAAACCTAGACTTCACAAGTACATGTTTAATAATTGTATTAAATCCAGTATAAGAGAATTCCAAATTTACACATGGTATAATTGACCATGTACTTGTTCTCTACTCTAAATAACACAAGCAATCCTAATTTAAACTCCATAATACACAATAAACACAAGAGTAATCATCATATTTATGAACACTGCACATATATTACGCACTTCTTTGAATCAAAACACCACATATCAACTTATCCATTATTACATGATGTATGTTTATATAGCACAACTTTATATACTGAATGTTTATGTAGATACTCAATGACATTTCATAACTTAACATCCTTCGTGAATTATTAATTAATACGTACATGCATAACATGAATATGATATCAATCACTATATTAAACGATGATTGCTTGCAAGCAAGTCTGTCCAAAAATTTATGATGATTAGCTTTTATTATCAGTAATATTTATGATGCAATTTTCTTTTTATTAAAGAGGGAATTGCCCTGACCTAAATAAATAACTGAAACTAATTTTGAACAATTTCATACTTGTAAAAACCTTAGGCATTGGTCACAAGAGTTCATCAAACCTTTTGAAAACCACTAATGTGTACGCCTTGTGAATTGACAGCTAAATCATTTATAGTTCTTATAGCATTTTATTAAAGAATTGTTTAAATGAAATTCAGATATTTTAATATGTTTTGCAAGATGGTTGACCATCTCCTGAGATATAGTCAATATTATTTCCTACATTTCAAAGTTAAGTTTAAGAAAACAGAATGACTGCTTATTCTGCTGAAATCGAAAAATATGACATCATATAAATCTAATAATAAACTTTATTTTAAGGCTCAGTCCCCTTCAAGTCATACAATAGATGAACCATCTATATATATAAATGTAAAATTCTTAAAATTCATAACACACTGGCATATAACCTCACAAAATGCACATCATAAGATGAATAAATACAGTGTGTCTACATTTTTTAATCACAGTGCAAAATAATTTTCTTTTATATTATCTCATTGTTTCAAATTTGCTTGGTTTTAATTTCTACTTTTTCCATGAGAAGAATAAATCAAGATTTTGTTTTCTCGTTATTTTTAAAGATATTTTATGAATTTAATAATGGTAAGATTCTTTACGAGAATGTTGTATTAAAACATCGAGATAATAGGCTCTCTCGTGCCAGTAATAAAAAAGTTTAAGCAGTTAATAGGCTGGCTTATGATGCAATTTATTTCATGCTTCCAGCCTCCAACCGACAAGTCAGGAAATGAGTTTGAACTTGACTGACAGTAAACAAGTAAAATATCCAGAAGAAAGTTCACTTAATGAGTTGTCTTAATTCATAAAATCCCTTCTGCTTTAGGCTAAAAAACGATATCTGATTCCCATATCATTTGCCATGCAATAGATTTATAGAAAGTGAACTCCAAGGGTGTATTCTAAAGAACATGACTTTGCTTGGGATCACAATGGTAATTTACAATAGAGTATATTATCGTAAATGTATTTATGTACATGTACTGAATCTAATACAATTATAAATAAAAGAGCTCTCGATACTGAATTGATTAGATATATGTCTCATTTAAACTAAAAATTATTCAGATCATTCAATCTTGTTGCATTCTCAAAAGCCTATATTTGATATTCCAACCGCATAATGAGTAAACAAAATACAACTGCCATATTCTCAATCTCATCAGAATTCAAGTAATTAATATCATAAAACATTTCAAGGATGCTTATTCAGATTATCTAATTAAATACTAAAATACCCAGTTCATTTAAAACTTCTATAGTATAGATTTATTGAAGAAATAAAGACTATAAAATTCTCACACTATAATCGAAGCATTCAAAATTGAAATACATAATAATTCTGTTTATATCATAACAACAATAAAGATGTTATTATTGTTAAATCATCTAATTTTGATTAGTAAAATATGTTTAGCAAATACGACGACATGATCCAGTTCAGAAAAAAATAACCAACTGAATATCAATTAAATATGGATAGCAATAAATATTTCACATAAAATGAAACACACAAATTAACACCCATTGATTTTTTTTTTTCACTTGCTGGTGACACAAAATTGTATCAATGAACATTAAACTAATAAGACGCTGGTTAAAGTGAACCCTAAACCTAAGTACTGTTGTTGTAGATGACTAATTGACATCTGACATATTTTGTTTGAAGATAGTGTTCAGATCATGTGAACTTGTTCAGATCGTGTGAACTTAATGGCTAATCAGATTGTCCTCAGTGGTATACAGTGTAATTAGTTTTATGGACATCCTAAAACCCAAGTGCATATACACAGTGAATAGATTGGCTTTTTTGAAAAAGTTGAATTTAAGCTTTTTGACAAAATCCAAATATATCTGGAGATTCAATACCATGGAGTTTGAATAGTTAAGGACCATTGTGTAATATCAATGACAGACCTATTGATACAGTGCACGCGCTAACCATTCAGCCATTCCCCCCCCCCCCCCACATCTGGGAGAGGTATTACAACCATATTGCTTGAATTTTAATATCTTTATCTCACTTACATATGCTATCATTTTTTTTTTTTTAATGTTTTTTCTTTCATTGAAAACTGCAAATTTTCTAGAACTAAAATTCTGTTCAGTTGCATGTAACAGAAAGTTCCTTGGGGCAATATTTCTGATTTAAGTGGCATGGTTTAAGTCTGATCTACATGTCAGCAGCAGGGTAAAACTTCTTATCCATTGTACTTGGGCAGTGTGCATAACACTTGATTATCCCATTTCAGATGATATAAAAACTACTTGATTCCAGTGATGACCCTTTATCCTATGAGACCATGTTTTTAATATAATTCAAATAAAAACCTGTTACCCAACTTAGCTTGTAACCTTCTGACCTTCTTCCAAATGACCATTCAGTTCTTATGTCGGTCTGATATTTAACCAAACCTTTTCAAATGTAGGTGAAAGTCTATTCTTTGATACCTTAAGATGAGGGGTAATTGGATTATTTCAAATTAAAACATGAAAACACAAACCACACAGATGGGATGGGAATTTTTTTCTTATCAAGATAAAATGAGATATCAAAACCATTTTCTCAAGTAACATACCGTATGGAAGCTCAAATCGGGCATCTATCAAAATAGTATGTCCTGATGGCAGTCGGGTTCCCATTATTTCACCATTTTGAATGATGAGCTCCGAGTCCAAAGACAGCCATTTTCCTTCACCCTCCTGAAATTATACAGTTAAACAATTAAAACTAGGGTATTACATGAAACAGTCTTGATCCAACATTTATGATAACTACAATTTCTTATAGAATTGCCACCATGTAGAATTCTTGGATACCGGTACCAATATACATGTACTTAAAGCGATTTGTCAGGAAATCTTATCTTTCAGAATATTGCAAGAGATCTTTCTACTGTTATTCGCAGATGGGGATTTTAAAAGTGTTTCTCGCAGAAGGACAGGTTTCTCATGACATATTATTGATATTGCAATGTTAATATTAAAGTTCAACAACTATCTGCCTATCATATTTATATAAAATTATATAACTTAATTTTAATTTGCTTATTATATGGAGAAGTGTACCCTATATCATTTTAAATTATTGCCCAGAACCGAAAATGGTAAATATGCTAAAGGAATGAATGGTCATGCTGTTATTGACTGGACTCAAGAAAACAATGTCCTAGTTCCAATACTGCTGGTATTAACTTTCAGGACATTTCCACATTTTAAAGATGTATCTCCTTGGTCTACCTCAAAGGCAGACTAGCCATAAAAGCGATGTAGGAATTTGAGCAATGCACAGTGTCGATTTGCTTAGACCACCAAGTAAGAATGGCCTACTGGAACTGATTCAAATACTGCCGAAAAAAATAGTTGATGAATAATCCGCCTATTTAATAGGTGAAGGATGTCCTGGCCACTACTGGTCTACTTGAGGTAGTAGGATTCCAAAAACAAAATCAAAATTGAGTTTTCAGTGAAAGGGTTCTAGATTTATTAATGAATAGATATAAGTGTAAAAGAAATCTTTTTTTCTACTTCTCCCCAAGAATGTACACCCAATACGAGACTTAAAAGACCTATATAGGTATATTTGTAGCTGTTTAAACTCTGCAATTAACCTTTCTCGATTCCATAGTGTTCAAAACGCCAACCAGTATAGATATATCTAAACTACTCGATGGACTTCAACATCAATCATGTTTAATTTTATAACCACTAGTATCAGCAAGTCTAAAGAGTAATTCATCAATAATTCATCTATTTTCCTCATAGGAATAATAAGCTACCTGATTGGAGTGGTGAATTTTAGTTAGAGGAAGCCAATGGAGGCCGAGCAGTTTATCCCACAACATTCCTTTATTCCACACCTCCACGATCAGACCAGTATCCAACCTCATTGTTTCACTGAAAATACAAAAAAAATAGAGACAATTTAATCAATGTATATATACTCTTCAAACAAAGTAGGGGATAGTCAGAAACAATACAAAACTGCGGAAATGCACTCCTGTTTTTATTAGAGGTAACCAGTGTATGTTAATAACAGGCCAATTGTCTACACATGAACATAAACAGTTCATATGGGCGGCTTATCTGACGGCCCTATTTCACTCGCAAAGAGATACACTGTCAAAAGTGAAAATGGACATTTTTGATTTTTTTCTTAATAATGAGTAATTGCTCCACCAATCCTGAGACATTCAGCAATTCGTTGTGGCATGTTGAGCAAAGAGCAGAACCATGCCGAATCTCTATTGCTGTCTGACGTTAACGATAGCTTGACGCTCATTTACACGCCTCCAAACGCGAGCACGCCTATCGATGAAATCCAGAGTAAATCTGGACTCATCTGAAAACATTACACGTGCCCATCGATGATTACCCCAATTTCTACACTGCCTACACCATTGATGCCTGTTTGCCTTGTGCTGGCGAGTTAATTAATGGAGGCACAACATGCGGTTGTCGTGCATGCAAATAGGCTGCATGTAGCCGATTTCTAATCGTTTGGGGTGTAACTCGGATTCCTGTAACTTGGTACAAGTTTACAGAAAGCTGATTGGCCGCTTGTCCTCGATTTCGCAGGACATGTGTACGAATGTATCAATCCTGGGCTTGTGTAGTGGCTCTAGGACGACCTGAACGAGGTCTATCATCAAAATTGTGTGTTTGTGACACATTAAGCATGTTGGCTACTGTATGCTGTGTAGAACCCATTTGAAGCATGCCAATAGCATATAGACGTTCATCATGTTGAAGACGTCTCATTGCAAATTAAACGTAACACACTAAAGCAAATATACGCTAAACAGTAAATCTTATGCAAGAACCGATAGGAAAGCAACCATGAATAAAATAAACCAGCACGCGGCAGTTTTCATCAACCCTTCCTTGAAGTGTCAAATATGACAATGAACCCCTCCCACATGTATAGCACTTCTGCGTGTCACACGTGTAGCTCAGTGGTTCTGTTGGGGCGATAAGTTCTTCATCTGTGAACATACTCTCAAAGCATGTCAAGTGTCCATGACTATTTATCATATCACAACCTGCATAGGTATTTGCATTTTAATATCCCCTACTTTTTTTGAAGAGTATATAATTAAAGGGACTATCCCGATATCAAGAGAGTCTCAAAAATAAAAGTCGGAGTACGTATGAAATTTAAGCACCAAAATATAGAGGAATGGGGTATTTACCTTCTCTCAAAATTCCAGCTCAAATTATTGAGTCATTTGGACGTGAATGTCAAAATTGCTTATCCGGACACGTAACCCTTTTAAGATTTTGGGTCAGTTTTTTCGTTGGGTGACCTGATAATCGATTCCCGTTCCTTGAGAGGTCTTTGTAGTGAATGACCCATGTGCTGTACTTGATAACGAAAGGTAAATTTCAACTACACGTTATTTTTATAAAATAAAAGTCTGGTTTTATCCAGACACCGCATAATACAGCTTGGGACACCGGTTTCCATTTCCAGACGAAGACTGACGGGTTTAAATGGTTTGAAAACTTATCACAAATATTGAGTTAGTTGCTCGGCCCTCAGCTAGAGGATTTTAAGGGATTTTAACACAAAATTAAGCAGTTTTATTCTCCAAAAAATATCGGGATTAGCCCTTTAAAACTCTTTATGAATTATTTTTTACTTTTTACTTGAATGCAAAAACATGTAAAATATGGTCTTGATACTGAATCTTGCTGACTACTGTTAATCCTCTTTGTTAAGGCCTTGTCAGTGTCAGGCAGTTTATGAATCCTTTTTATCAATCAAAATAATTTTTACACAATCATTTTATGGTAAAGAAATAGCGTATATATCATATAAAAGGAATACAATTCAAAATCTTAAAATGTTTAAACTGGTGTTTGCTGTCCAGAAAACAATATTGAAACATTCTTATTTTAATTCTCAATCATCAATACAGAATCAAATAAAACAATGTTTATAGATAACGATTTATGTTGACATATGCTTAATAACGACTTGTGAAATCTTATTGAAACATTGCAGTGAAATAAACCATAGTAATTGTTATCCATAAATAGTGTTTTATTTGATGATGTTAGATTTAATAAATGCCATTCAATGAATATACATGTATCCATACAGAATATTCAATTTTTTCCCATGTAGCCTTTTTCTAGAAAAAATAATTTACAAAGTTTATAATCCAATTGAAATATCCCAGTGGCTTTCCAGGAATGTATAATGTAAATTAATGTTTCTGGCCTACATATAACGTATGAATTTATTTTATATCATTGATCAATATTTCAATAACTGGTTGACCTGTTCAGAAATATGATTCACAGAGATACATGTAGATATGGGACAATTCAATAATATCTCATTAACGGTTGTGTAGTAGCCCAACACCAACAGAACATCAGATATTGGTCGTCATTAGTTTTATTGTTAAATAGCTAATTGGTCTTCATTAGTTTTTATGAAACATCTATTTGTAAAGAGATATTGTCAAAATATTTCCATTGCGGTTAATTAATGCTAGTTGTTAACATCCAACAGTTCTGCACCAACTGGGCTAATGAAAATGGATGTATGCTTGTTAGGCCCTGTCCTCCACCACTGACATGGCAGTCATTGTTTTTTAAGGCGAGCGATCGCTTTTGAGCACCTGCCGCTCACCTGAATGTCGACCGAGGGGAGTTTTTTTTCCCTCCCCGTAAAACTGAAAATCGCTCTCCTTTACAAGGTCATTGGGGGTTTATTATCATTTATGAAACCAGGAATGACCTCATTACATGCAGTTATTGATCTTAAAACCATTTCCCATGCACATAACTAATCACTCTCCTTAATATCAGATCACTCTCCTTAATTTCTAAACCCCTCTTCTGATCAAAACTGGGAGAGTTTTTTGAGGGGAGCGATTTTTTCAATTCGTTGATTGAGGTGAGCTTTTTTTTGGCTCTCCTCTGAAATACAAACAACGATTGACATGGGGAGACCTCGCTGGTTAGTGAGCCAGTGCCTTACTCAATGAGCTACCGTTACTCCCTTGGTATTTAGCAAATCAGAATGATAGGTTGCCAGGCAACAAAACATACGCCCACAGCAGCTGATTCATCCGAGCAGTCAACAAGGGTTGTCGCATATTTAGTCTTTTGAAGGTAATTAGGGGCATTTAAGAGACAATTTCATACAAATGACATCATAATTTTCGTCGTTTGAATGTTCACAAGGTTCTAAAAAGTAAAACAAGGGTCGTAACTCTGGAAGTAATCTACAGAAATTGTGGAAATTTGACAGGCTTTTTCGTTTTACTAGTTCAAATAATGCATATAAATTTCATACAGATCGGATGATAACTTTTGTTGTTCAAATGTTCACACGGTTCATCAAAGTAATACAAGGGCCATAACTCATGGCATAATTAATGGAAATTGCTGAAATTCAATACTCTTCTTCGTTGCACTAATTTAAATGATGCATATCAATTTCAAACAGATCGGATGATAACTGTTGTCATTAGAGCGTTCACAAGATTCAACAAGTGCCATAACTCTAGAGGTAATTAACAGAAATTGCTGAAATTCAATAGGCTTCTTTGCTTTACTAATTTAAATAATGCATATAAATTCCATACAGATCAGTTGATAACTGTTGTCGTTAGAGCATTCACAAAGTGCAACAAAGTGAAACATGGGCCATAACTGCAGAAGAAATTAACGGAAGTTATTGAAAATAAATAGGCTTCTTCATCTCACTAAGGCAAACAACATATATCAATTTCAAAACATTCAGATAATAAATGTAGTCTGTATAGTGTTCACAAGAAATTGTGGACGACGGACTGACAGACGGACGGGGGCGACGGCAATATACGACCACATTTCCATGTGGGCATATAAAAATAATAAATGAAAATGTACCAGAATATCATTATTTTGAGAAAAGACAAAATAGATTTTTATGTCAGTTGTGCAAGCAGTCCTTCATTATGTGATATCTCAAATGGTTTCATCATTTCAAAGAATTATCAAAGTATATATTAAAAGAAAGAAAAAAAAAAACATAGATGTGTGTCCTTTAAATCTCTGGTCCTTTTAGGTCAACTGACAATTACCGGTAACATAATCTAGGCCAACTTTCGACCTAGGATTACTCTTGCCCCACCTACCGGTAAATCCAATTATTTCTACTGAACTTTGTATATTGCCCATGTTGGTGAATTCTGAAATAACATTATTCTTAGCTACAGGATGAACTAGGAGAGATAAATTTAAACGAAGCTGATTGCAAGAACATACAGAACATAATTAAGACATCAATGAAGTTAGATTATCACAGTGTCTGTAGATGTTGTATAGACGATTGATATACTATTTGGACTTTTACGTTATAAACTATTTATTTGATGAGGATTTAATCAATAGTTTACGCTCTGCCCCTTTATCACTGTCTGGGAGTTGTCTCTGTATTTCAAAGTCTGGGAGGATTACCAAATGATCCTCTATAATTTGTACATTTGCCAGTCTAACATACACAGTCCTCTATTATTATATATCTCTAAGAGTGTGTCCGATAATAATGGCTTTTCTTCTGATTGACACAGACATGTCAGTGACAATTGGTCTAGAGATAACAATCAAAGATATATTCTGTATAAGTAGCTTGGTCAAGATGCTTGTTATTGATTAGTAGAGAGATCTCAGATCCTTTCTCTGCTGCCCACTTGAATTTTATACAAGCATGCATGACTTTGTTGCTGTTAGAAACAGAGAACTGATCTGATAAAACAGTCACAAAACAGGTCTGTATAAAACAAAGATCCCCAAAACAAACCAAAGATCCCCAAAACAAACAACCTCTTTTGTTAATGCTTTCATCATCAGTGCACATTAAAAATTATGATGTCCTGATCAGTACAAATACAAGG